CCGGCAGCTCTGAGAGCGAAGGGGAAGTTTCAACATGCCGATCGCACAGTTGCTGGAGCTATGGAAGAAGATCGAGGTGGAGCCCATGGAGACGGAGGTGAGCGGGGTCCTGGCCTGTTTACCCAGGGGCGCCGTGGGCTGAGTGACGGCTGGTGACAGACCTGAGCCTGGATGGGCAGAGGCGTGTAAGTCGGATGCGTGTGCGCGTGCAAATCCAAACATCCGACGCTCACAATGTCCCTGTGCTTCTGCACCGGGCGGCATTTGTGCGCTACACGGAAACGAAAATGGATAGAGAAAATGAATGTCTTAAGCCAAACTTTCTGGGTGCTTCTTGAAGTCTGCGCGGCTGACCTGCAAGTGTTCCCAGGCTGAGTGGAAGCAGCTTGCTGTGCCTTCAACAAGTGGCTTTGAATTATAAGCCCTTCATTTCCCGCAGGATGAAAGCAAAGGCAAAAGCAATGCTGTTTTTTAAGGAGAAGGCTGACAGATAATGCGTTTTCAGAGGGCTGCTTGTACTGACCCTTGTGATCGGAGACGGACGCTAGCCCGTGGCTGGGCCAGCTGACGTGTGGGCCCAGCTTACTGGCCACAGGCTTCTCTAAGGACGTGGAAACCTCTGCCCTAAGGAATTCAATTTGCCCAATTCGAATGATATGTTAGATATATTTTTCCCAGAAGTGGAGTTCCCCAGAATTATTAACATCTGCTAAACTATTAGCTGTACTTAGACCATTGATAGCAACTCAAATTGCATTTAACAGTGGCTAATCTTAATGACTTACTAAATCATTGCAAAATCCAAGCTTTAATGTTTGCCTTATTCCCTACAGCCAGTACCACATCTACAAATGCGGTGCTGACTGTTTAAAATTGTATTCATCTTTGTGTCTCCATGGGATATGTTGAGGCTGCCATGTAATGTCATTTTAAACGGACAGAGGTTCTGTTTTAGAGGAGTCTTTTCTTAATATATTATGCTTACTACTTTTCCTGGCAACCGATCTGACTCAAGGCTTGCAGTATGCCTGCTGCTTAGCGGGGACAGGGCTCTACGCCCGTTTCTTTAGCAGGAACGGCCTAGACACGGTTGCCCGTGGGAGTGTTTAAGGCAGAAGACGACACCACCCCTCCTTTTGGTGTTATTGATTGTTCAGTTTGTACGTGATGTTCTCCTGGCATGGAGGGTGGAGCCGTAGTGAGAGCGTTTACTTCCGGGGTTGCCAGTTCAAGTCCATTTCTTCCCTGCTGGGAGAGCGCTGGCTTCCCCGAACACCGAGCTAATGAATGACCCAGACCGAGCCACGCGCTCTTTCTTGTTGGTGCTGCCTCGAGCCCTCTGGTTACCGGAGCCATGTTTGCGGTGGTGAGCTGCCAGCCGGGGGGCCCTCGTGAAGGCCGAGCTCACGCAGCGGGACGGGCTGGCCTGGGTGTGGAGGTGGCGGGAGCAGGGTCTGCAGGCCTCTGGTGGGCTCTGACCCACAGCGCCGCCAGGGACAAAAGCTCTGAGAAGTGGCTTGAGTTCCAGATATTTCTGAGACTAATTGAAAATGGACCTCTAGTGAATAGATTGGTGTATTTTCACCGTGTGGACACATGAACCAGGCGTGGGTGCTGACCAGAAGCCACACTGGCTTCAACAAGGGGCCGCTGTGTCCCTGGCTGACATGGAGATGGCACAGCCGCCAGAGGCCACTCCACCAGGCCGGGGCATGGAGTCATACTATTTCAAACACCTCGAGGCCCTGGACGGCCCTTGCCGAGGGAGGGCCGAGGCCGTGGACCGCCTCCCGTGCTGCCTTTCCACCAGGGGGGTGCAGGTCTGGGAGGGGTTTTGGTTGATCTGGATACAGGAACAATACATTACACGGGTAAGTTAAATTAGGTGGTCCCTGCAGCAGAAGACATTGTTTTGGTGAGGGGCTTCCTGGGTACGTCTTTCAGGGTACCTACTGTGGGGTTGTGCTCTTGCTGGAGAGGATCTGATGGCTGGTCCCGTGGAACTCAGAAAACCCGTCCTTCCCACAGAAAGATTAAAGCTGAATATCCTTAAATATTGACTCCAAGTTCCCGAGGAAACCTCCAAATCCACAAAATACGAATCCCTTCGGAGCTCAGGGCTGGGACCCTCTCTCATCTTGCCCCCGGTCACACCACGTGGTGTTAAACTCCCCTGCACATCAGGACCTGGGCCAGGCAGGATTCCGCGCCGCCTCTGACTGCCAAGCCGAATGTCACCAAGGCTTGCTGAAGAGCGCGCTGCTCCCACGAGGGCACCTGCAGCGAGCTGTCACTGTGAGCTGTCACTGCAGAGCTGTCACTGTGAGCTGTCACTGCAGCGGGGCTGTCTGAGTCTCCAGGGCAGCCATCGGGGCCCCGCGTTCCCACTTCACCAGGCCGTCCTCGTGCCTCCTCACCGCCCTGCTTCTCTGCGGCCTGAGGAACTGGCTACCGGGGCTCTGTGACCCCGTACACCGTCCAGACAGTCCCTCTGCGCCAGCACACACCAGCAGGCTGCTCTGTCAGGGAGCGTCTGTGGTTCCCGGAACTGCTGTGATTCCTGTGAACAGGGAGCGTGGCAGGTTAGGATGTGAGGTCCCAAAGCCCCGGAAGAATCTAGCATGAAAAAGAATGTAGCATTTTTTAAGTTTTAGCAGCCCTTCAGCCACAGCCTTCAGCAGGGTGACGAGGCCACGGCGTGGTGGGTGGGAGAGGCGGGCAGACGCTGCCTGGGGTCTGGCTGGCCCTTGGCCTTGCTGGGGCTGTCCTACCTTGGAGGAAGGGAGAGCAGGGGCATCAGACATGATTTCCTGGAGGCTCACATCAAGCCCGGGAATCCGTAATCGGCCACTGTCGGAGCTGCCAGGCTGGACACGGAGGCAGGAGCCGGCGGGCTGACAGCGGGCAGCTCTGGTGGTGACTCCCACGCGGCTGAGCTGGGCGGCTGTGTGCAGGGCTGGCTCCCCGGGGCTCCCTGGCTCTGGGCAGTAGGGACCGTCCTGTCCCTGACTCGTGGCCTTGGGCCAGCCCCGGTGGCGCCTTGCTGTGTGCCATGGCCAGGCCTTCACTCCCTTTCATGTGATTCGTCCTCCCAGCAATAACCCGAGGCTGGGACCCACTCCCTCCCAGGGTGGATGGCTGGGATGCCCGCGGGCCCTTTCTGTCTTCCCTGTTTAGTCCTTTGGCTGCATGGAGGGCACCTCCTGACCTGCCGAGTGTAGGCTGCACAGTCTCCTCGTTCTCTCCGATCGCGCCCGACGTGCACGCTCCGCCGACCCGTGGTCTGTGACGTGGGACATGAGCGTTTCCTGTCCTTGCCGCCGCTTAGTCAGGGTCCGCTCTGGCACGAGGCATCTAGTTATGACTGTGGACAGAGAAAAGACCGCACGGCCCCTGTCCTGGGCCAGGCTGGACTGCTCAGGTGGCCTCTGCGTGGGACCGGTGTGAGGGCCCCCACGGAGTAGCTGCTAAACTAACGTATCTCCTTGTTCCCAGGCCGCCGAGGAGGAGGATGTCAGCCTGGACACGGAGCCTCCCACGGAAGACACGGCGGAAGAAGTAACTATCCTCACTTACAGCCTGGTCACTGGAGGGGACTGGCGGGGTGGCACCGGGGGGACACGTGAGTTTGGAATTAGTGCTGGTGTGTGGTTGTCCAGCACCGTGTGAATGTACACACGCAGTACGTGTGACCACATATGTGTGCGGTGCACGGTCGTGACTCTCCCCAGGAGTAAAACAGCGAGTTACACTGTCTCCTGGTGTGGACGATGGGGGACGTGTGATCACCAGTCAGGGCAGGCATGAGGGACGGCCCGCAGGCGCGGGAAGAAGTGAGACGTCACTCCGCCTGCTGGAGGCGATGGATGCAGCGGAGCTTCCGAAACGCCCGCTTTGTCGTGCTGAGCGGCCGCGAGCCGGAGGCGGGGAGAGCCCAGCCGGGCAAGGCCATGGGAGGGTGAGGCCAGGAAGCCTGGGGTGGGGGGAGCAGGACCTCTAGAGAGGACGTGTTCCTGCCGTGGAGGTGACGTGGGGAGAGCGCCAGCTGCCACGGGCCACACCTTTCCCGTTTACAGCCCTTGGGAATCTGTCCTGCTCAGGCACCGGGAATCCGGCTGAGCCCTTAGTAACGGGAAAGCGTCAGGTGACATGGTGTCACAGGGAGAGCTTGGTGACAACAAGCTTATCTGTGAGCGAGACAGGGACAGGGCAGGACAGGACAATTCTCGAGAGGACTGGGTGCTGTGGTAGAGGGTCCTGGTGAGGCGCCATCCTCCTGGCACCCCTGGTGACTTCTCTCTCGGTGGCCGCAGCCAGGGAGCCCTGGGCGAGACCAGCCGCCTGAGTCGCTGTCACTTGCTGCCCGGGAACACAAGTCCTAGATGAGCCACTTGACGACTTCTGAAAACAGCTGAGAGGAGTGGTGGCCTGGAGGGTGCGGCGGTGGCCGTCCTGACTCAGAGGCCCCCTAAGCCAGCCCTGCAGCTCGCCACCTTCGGACTCTGCACGCGAGACCTCACGGGCCTTGCACGCAGACACGTCCGTGGTTGGACCTGGAGGCCGGCAGGGAGCCTCGTGGTGCTGCCACGGGGTCTGCCTCACTGCTGGGCGGGGAGTTGGCGGGCGCTCCCCTCAGCCCTGCCGGGGCCTTGCAGCATTTGGCCCGCCCTGCGCCTGTGGTCCCCGGGAGAGCAGCAGGGCTCTGCTTTTGCGGCTCCACAGAGGTCAAAGTGTGAAGAGACGAGGGAGCCGGTGACCTTCCAGGGAAGATGGATGTCCCAGCATGTCCTCGCAAGGGGCAGTGATAAGGTGGGGAGGAGGGGCTGGGCCAGCAGAGGTTCAGGCCTGGTCCCATGTGCCCGGCCCCGGTGACTCGAGAAGCATGCCAGGTGCATGTGCACAACCCCAGCAGGTGGGCAGTGGAGGAAAGTGCCCTGCTGGGACGGCGCCCCCCGCGGGAGGGCTTTCTCCCTTGTGCTCCCTCTCTCTCTCGGTCTCTCTCCCTGGTCAGTATGTGCCCTCTGGCAATGAAGAAAATGAAAAATAAACGGGTAGAGATAGAGGGAAGCTTACCCCCCACGTACAGTAATATGGCCCAGAGTCTCAGAGAGAGCAAGCCCCTGGGGTCACTGTCCCAGGCGCTCGGAGTTCTCCGGTTTCCTGGGACATGAGGCAACTGGCGTGGCTTCAGGAGGCTGGGGCGTGGCACTAAGCACACAGGCGTGGTGGCCCAGACGGGGCATGCGTGTGCGTCCTGGCTTTGTCCCTTAGGGTTTGGGGGCAGAATGCCCTGGCCCCAGGGCTAAGGGGCAGCAGAGATTTCCTTCTCGCTTCTGGGGCTGGAAGTTCCAGCTCAAGGCTGACGGACTCCGTGGCTGGTGAGGCCCACGTCTAGATGGTAGATAGTTGTCCTCCCGCAGTGTCCTCCCGTGGCAGGATGGGCAGGAGCTCTCTGGGCCCCTGTCACTAGGGCGCTGGTCCACTCATGCAGCTCCAACCTTGGGACTGAATCGCCTCTGGGAGGCCCCGCCTCCTAGTCCCCTGAGCACGGGGTCAGGATTTCACCACGGGAGCAGACTCCAGACCACAGTGCTCAGGAGGACGAGGCTGAGAAGGGAAGCGTGGGTTCCCAGCAGGAGGCTGTGTGCCAGGGCACACAGGTCTTGTCATTAACTATTTATTTCCGGATTGTCGTGACATCACGTTGCTGACTCTTGTCGCCCGTCCGTCCAGCAGAGCTCAGAAGGTCTCCCTCCGGCACCCTGGCTGTCAGCTCCCTGCCCCCACTGCTTCCACCATTTACCTCCTCAGCTTCCCCGTGTTTGCGAGGTGCCCTGGCACTGTGTCTGTGCCTGCCCGATGGCACAGGCCTACGACCTCCTGGTGTCAAGTTGCCTTGCGTCAGAATGTTCTATGGAAAGCTGGCTGTGAGTCTGTTACAGGAATGTGGTGAAGCACTGATTTGTTTGTTTAAGATTTTTTTTTTTGGCCATGGAATGTGTATGTTCACCAGAGAGAGACAGAGAGAGAGAGAGACACACAGAGAGGGAGTGAGTGAGAAATCACCCCCTGGGGGCATGCCCACACAGCAGTCCTTCTCTCCCATTCCCCTCTAGGGATTTGGGGCATGCATACATACCCAGAGTGAGTTTCAAGCTGCTGGGTCCAGGACTTGAACCGTAGCCAGACGTGTGGGAGTCTAGTGCTTTAACCACTACGCCCCCTGCTGGCCCCAACCCGGGCTTCTTTCAGTAGTGGGATAGAGGGTGGGGAGACGGTCACTGTCCCCCAAGGCGGACCTGGTCTGAGTGGAGTCAGGCAGTGCTTGGGCCTTAGTAAACGGAGGAACTCTGAACAAATGTAGGAGTGCCTCGCAGGACCCTGCAATGGCCGTTCGGATGCCTCGCCGTGTCTGTGGGAGTAACGCACGTGCAGGACAGTCACTGCCGGAGGCCTTGAGGTGTCCATAGGTGACCCTGACGGCACACCTGCAGTGTCAACCACCACAGCTGCTGGCCGTCCAGGTGTCGGTGCAGGTGTCCAGCTTGGTTAGAGGCGAGCTTGTCTGACCGCCCTCCTCGGCCTGCCCACTGGGGATCTGGCCGCTGTTCTGTCGCCGAAGGGTGGGGCAGACTAAACACGTGTAATTAAAAGTCATCTTATTAGAAAAATAATTAAATCAATGGCAGGTTCTTATGCATCCATTCAACCAGAATTACTTTTTGTATCCTGTGGGCTTAACGTTGGAGGATGAAAAGGTCAGTCGAGGTTCGTCTTGGCACGTGCAGGAATGTCGTAACTAACATGGTTTCCTCCCTGGGATATTCTTGCCTACTTTTTAAAGTATACAACATGTTTGGGACATGTTTTGCACAAATGCGTCTGCGTGCACTTCTTGTTCGGTTGTATCTCATGTCATGGCTGTTTGCCTTCTGAGCAAAGGGAAACTGGGGTGGCCTGGGGTGAAGACGGGAGGCAGGCAGGAAGCCCGTTTCGAGTTCTCAGGTCAACACGACACACCTTTACCCGCCATTGCTGAGGAGAGGCCTCCGCTCTCCAGAAGTTGGTGTCGCCAGGCGTGGTGGCATGTGTCTGGAATCCCAGCTGACCGGGAGGCTGAGACAGGAGGGTGGCAAGCTCAAGGCTGGCCCTGCAACACAGTGCAATGTCATCTCCTAGGAAGTCAGCATGGATAAGATCAGCAGGTGGCATAGTGGTTACATTGCTGGACTCCCACGTAGTCAACTGCAGTTCGAGTCCTGGACCTGGCGCCTTGGAGCTCACTGGGTGCAAGTGCGTGCGTGCCCAGAGTCCCAAGAGGAGAATGGAGGAGAAAGGATTGTGGTGTGGCCTAACCCCTGGGGGAGTAATTTCTTGCTTCCTGTCTCTCTGTCTCTCTAGCTAGTGCACACCCATGGACGCTGGACGTTTGTGTTACAGATGTGCAGGAGGGCTGGCCCCCAGCCTCGGCCCACTCAACACGTCGGAGCAGCCCGCCCATATTCTGAGCAATGATGCTGCCATAGAGGCCCCAAACTGAACTGCGTTTCAGCTCCTCAAAGGACTGAGGAAGGCGGGTCCCAGTTGCACAGAGCCCCGAGGGTGGGCCCGCCCTGTGTGGTGGTGACCCCATTTCCTCGTCCCTTTTGCAGGTTAGGGATACTGAAGGCTGGCAGAGTGGGGGAGCTGTGGAGCCTAGAGGGGTTAAAGTTCAGTGCAGACAGCAGACGCACCTGCAACTGGGCAGGGTGGAGGTCTCTGAAGGCCCTGCAGGGTAGAGGTAGTGAGGGCTGGCAGTGTGGGGAGCTGTCGGCTAGCAGAGTGATTTATGGCCTCAGTGAATTTGTCCAGAGGGGACCTGCTGCTCGTGGTGGGAAGGCCGATCTGGACACCTGGCCAGGAGCACTTGGGGTGGCCTGCCAGCCACATGCAGGAGACCCCTGCTGCGATGCCGAGCCTGCTTCTCAACCTGTGTGGGAGGTAACGTCACGGGGATGGCAGGGGCCTCCTGGGAACCCTTCTGAGCCACTGTCCAGGGAGGCAGAGGGAGGAGTGGAGCCTGTGCCTCATGGGGATGGGAGTGAGGACCCTGTCCTGGGCCAGGAGACGGCCACCAGCCTGTTTCCGCGGCTCACACTCAGTCTCCAGAGCCCAGGCATGCCATGCTCCCGGGCCGACATACTGAGTGTAATTTCTGGTCCCTGTGCACGGGTGACTTAAGGTGAGTTTGTATTTATAGACGAGTTTCCAAAAATATCAGGGTTTGTCAAGTGACATTTTAAAGGGTTTAGATTTCAGGGTTGTGTTCATTAATAATAATGCAGACCATCTTCTTACCCGGTCGACTTCAGGAACCCAGTTCCAGAGAAGCTCTGTAGAGCATCGGCGTGTTTTCACTTTATTCCCCGTGACTTCCAGGGCACCCCCCTGTCTGCATGCGCCGTCGGCTGTCAGTTTCAGTTGGCGGGAGGTCCCCACCGGGAGCCAGACAGCAGGGGCTTTGTGACTGAGGCGCTCCCCAGGCGCAGGAGGTCCGTAGGTGCTCGCGGTGAGCTCTG